TCCACTCTTTTGTGTTGGATTTGACTTCCACATTTGAAAATGCCGATTTTAATTTTGGTTACATTTAATTTTTTTTGGAGTGATTTAGTTTGTTACATTTATTTATATATTAAAAGAATGAACAGTTAATAATTTAAAATATTTATGCTCAACATCATGTAAAATACAAATGAAGTATGATATAGTTTCCTACTACTTCAATTGAGACACTCAAAAGAATTTATCCACACAAAACACACCCATCCAATATCTAGCTACCTTCCAAATGAATTGTCTTAATCACTAGTCTATAGTCAATTATGTCCTCTCCTATTATCTACTTTGTGTATCAATTATCAAATTCATTTCATGTCTAAATTCATATGTTTCCTTTTTTATAGAAATTTCAAATTTCTTTTGAAATATCAATATTAATTTTTATTATAGCTAGATTTAAAATTAAATATATTATGTAGAAATATTAACTTTATCTTCAAGTGAAATCTGGTCATCCAAACGAAGCAACCCGCAACCGTTTGGTAAAATATTAGTGCATGCTGCCCGGTCCGCTCAATAATTAATAACATAAGCGCTTCTATAATTTGTACTGTAATGTTAAGAAGGCTGATTTAAAGGGAAAACTTTCCTGTATATAAAGGGTACAGTTATCTTTCAAAAATTATTTGACTGTCTTCATGATTGAATTTTTTGCTGAAATTTAGTATAGATGTACTAGATTTGATAAAAAACATGCTCAAAAAATTCCATCGAAAAAATCCACCGGAAAGGCCCTCAAAACGTGGAGGCCGCACGGAGACTCCGGTAAGGTACACCTTACCGGAAGAGTTCCCGATTTAAAGTGACCTATTTGAATGATCAATTTACTTAGCTACGCTTATTTTCTCAATTCTCAATGATGAAATTAAAGCCTCTTATAACATTTTGATTTGAAGTGGATTTGGATTAAAAGAAAATTATTAGCACATCATTTGGAGTTAAAAGTCGCTCATCATTTGGAAGTCTTTCCCAAAATTATGACCTTTTTTTTTTATCAGTGGTCACTTTCAACACAACAATAAGTACTACTCCCTCCCTCCGTATTACATATATCTTCCTACTTCCAAAATAAGTGAGATTAAGAATAGTGAAAGGAGATATAAATTATTGAGTATATGATGGAAAGATAATGAAATAGTGTGCTGGATTGAAGGATAAATCTAAAAAAAGTAATTGTAATAGTGTATTGTTTTTAAAATTATTGAGAGTATAATGGGAAGATTTAGAAATGAGAAGATATGAATGTTACGGTTAAAAAAGGAAAGTGGGAAGATATGAGTGTTACGGAGGGAGTACTATACACTTATCAAATATATAGTCAATAGATATTGATTAATTAGTTTACATTTTTACATTTTTACATATTTTTTTAGTAATATACTCTTAGGTTGAAAAATTTTGAGGAAGCCACCTTTGAGAAAATTCAACATTCAGTGATAAAATCATAGAAGTGCAATTTCGTTTCAAAGTTTATTTAAACAAATAAGCAAGACATAATGAAGTCGGCTAGCTTTTTCTCTATGACAAGACACAAAGTGTGCAAGTGTGTCTCTAGGTCTCTATGGTATTATTAGTCAAACTATTCTTTATTTTTATTCTTGTAAAGATATTGAATAATCCGTACGACTTTAAGATTTACATACATTAGGTACAAGATTATAAATGATACCACGAAGAAACATTAAGTGATGGTTTGGAATTAGTAAATCTTGTAAATTAATTGTTTTGAATACTCTGTTTTTTTTTTTTTTTGAGAAAAGACTTTGACTTAAATAGGGTTGATGAAGATTATACTAATAGTTACACATATATGGAGCAGGTGCCGTGGTTGAAGTAACATGCAAGGCAGGTAAGAAGCAGCTAAAGTGGTATGGAGACACCAAAAACAATGGGAAGTTTAGTGTAGAAGTGGAAGGTTTTGATTATGGAAAATATGGAGCAAAGGCATGTAGTGCCAAGCTTCATGCACCACCCAAGCATTCCAAATGCAATATTCCCACCAATCTTCATTGGGGGATAAAGGGTGCTGAGCTCAAAGTGAAGTCAAAGACAGATTATGAAGTTGTTCTTTATGCCAAACCATTTGCTTATGCAGCTAAGCCTATTCATGGGGAATGCGAAAAGCCCAAGCCCAAGCCCAAGCCTAAGCCTAAGCCTACTCCGTCACCTTACTATTACAAGTCTCCTCCCCCGCCTTCGCCATCACCTCCCCCGCCTTACTACTACAAGTCTCCTCCTCCCCCATCTCCATCACCTCCCCCGCCTTACTTTTACAAGTCTCCTCCTCCGCCGTCTCCATCTCCTCCACCGCCTTACTACTACAAATCCCCTCCTCCTCCTTCGCCATCACCACCTCCGCCTTATTACTACAAATCTCCTCCTCCCCCTTCGCCATCACCACCTCCGCCTTACTATTACAAATCTCCTCCTCCCCCGTCGCCATCACCTCCACCACCTTACTATTATCAATCTCCACCTCCACCATCCCCATCACCTCCTCCACCATACTATTACAAGTCTCCACCACCACCATCTCCATCACCTCCTCCGCCCTACTATTACAAGTCTCCGCCTCCACCATCTCCATCACCTCCTCCACCTTATTATTACAAGTCACCACCCCCACCATCCCCATCCCCTCCTCCACCCTACTACTACAAGTCCCCACCACCCCCATCACCATCCCCACCACCACCTTATTACTATAAATCTCCACCACCACCATCACCATCACCGCCCCCACCTTATTACTATAAGTCACCTCCTCCTCCATCACCTTCACCTCCTCCACCATATTACTATAAGTCCCCGCCTCCACCATCCCCATCTCCTCCTCCACCTTATTATTACAAGTCCCCACCACCTCCATCACCGTCTCCACCACCACCTTATTACTACAAATCTCCACCACCGCCATCACCGTCACCTCCTCCACCTTACTACTATAAGTCACCTCCTCCTCCATCACCTTCACCTCCTCCACCATATTACTACAAGTCCCCGCCTCCACCGTCCCCATCTCCTCCTCCACCTTATTATTATAAGTCCCCACCACCTCCATCACCATCTCCACCACCACCTTATTACTATAAATCTCCACCACCACCATCACCATCACCTCCTCCACCTTATTATTATAAGTCACCTCCTCCCCCTTCACCTTCACCTCCTCCGCCATATTATTACAAGTCTCCACCTCCTCCATCCCCATCACCTCCTCCACCTTACTATTACAAGTCCCCACCCCCGCCTTCACCATCTCCTCCACCACCTTATTACTACAAATCCCCCCCACCACCTTCACCGTCCCCCCCTCCGCCTTATCACTACAAATCCCCACCACCGCCATCTTCATCTCCTCCTCCACCATACCACTACACCTCGCCCCCACCACCGTTGAAGTCTCCTCCACCCGTGTATATTTATGCTTCTCCACCACCACCAACACAATACTAAGCACACGTAACTCTACCAGTCTCTGCACCTTGACAAGTATGCGATGGTTAAAATAATGTGAATGCTCCGAGAAGAGAAGAGTTAAGCAACAAGTATATGGGGCTACTAATTTGTTTAATAAAAAGATCCTCATTGTTGAATTGTGAAGTGTGTAGAATCATAAAAAATGACTGGTTCTCTTGTATTCTCTTGTCGTTCTCTTTCACATTTTGTTGTTGCATTGTTGTGCCATCAGAGGGAAATGGATTGTTGAGCTTCTTATATATATAGCACAATTTGTTCTTGTAATGGATCGTTGCGTTTATCTAATTCAATTTGAATGTAATATAAGTTTGGATTTTTCTTGTATCCTTTTACCTTTGTGGCATACGGGCATGAAATCTTTACACTACCATAACTGATACTCCTTCCCTATGATGTTTAGTTTCTTAGTGTCTGTGCGCAATAGGGAAAACTAAGGTATTTTCAGTTCAATATATTTGTCACGTTCAACCTTACATAGAAAACAATTAATCTTTAATTTTGTATAATTAAAATTTGCATTATTAGACACTAAAAAAAACTACCTGTATACAAATATTGAGTTGTTCACTACTTCACTATATATCTGTAGCCGTGATTCTATAATATTCAATTTGTATTTGTTAAAACCTGTCATGAATAAACTTTTCAAATATTTACTCAAATAAATAGTTTAAAAATATTTTGACAATATTGAAATGCAAATTTCACTATATGCTTCAATTCTATTGTAGTGAATACTCTTCTAATAAAATAAACTTTTGTTTGTTCCGAATTTAAGAGAGCTAGACGACTAAATTAAAACAAAATAGATAGTAACATATAAAAAACTGGAAAACATCTAAGCTATTTTAAAAACTCTGGTAGTAATTTAACGTAGCATCATCATGCAATAATATATATATATATATAGTAACAAATATGGGTGTAGAACTGTGTACGTAATAGGTGAAAATCATTCATAAACTAGATTTCTATCAAACCAATTCAGTCGAGTCATGAAAAAACACATATGTCAATGTATAATATGCATTAGTATTGAGTGATAATTAGTACGTTCTCACTTCTCACAATGAGCTCAACATGATTTATCTACTCAAGTTGAGATTTTTACAAAGATTTTTATAAAAAAAATGCGGGATTGACATGTATTTTTGGCAGAGATTCGTCAAAATTCATAAAGAATTTGGCATATATTTTCCAAATCCGTGCAAAAAGCACTTTGACAAAAGTTATACGTAAGCAGAACTCTTGAATCACACAATATAATTGTTTAAACATTCATATTAGTTTTTTAACGAAATTCCAAATTAAACACTCAAAAATAAGTTGTGATTAAGAGCCTATATATGTGAGAATAATGGAATGGCTTACCCAATTGGTAGCCCTGGATGTCATATATATAATAGAATAAGTGTCCAAAATACAATAGGAAACTAACAAGATATGGAAATCTTATTCTAGGTAATAAATACATTATTACACCCCCTCAGTCTGTGCAGGAGAAATAACGCACAGATTGTCTCGAAGAAAATTGAACCGTTGAGGAGATAAGCACTTGGTAAAAATATCTGCCAACTGAAACTGCGTAGGTACATAGCGAACAACCAGATCTCCATGCGAGACACGCTCTCGAACAAAATGATAATCAATGCTAATGTGTTTACTGCGAGCATGCTGAATAGGATTCATAGATAAATAAGAAGCAGAGACATTGTCACAGAACAACTTAACAGGCGTGCATATCGGGACCCCAAGCTCAAATAAAATGGAGCGAATGTGAAGTGTATCCTGAACGGTGTAAGCGATGGCCCGATACTCAGCTTCAGTAGAAGACCGGGAGACCGTAGGTTGTTTCTTGGACTTCCAAGAGACTAAGTTAGGCCCCAAAAATATAGCAAAGCCAGATGTGGAGCGACTACTGTCTGGACAACCGGCCCAATCAGCATCAGAGTATGCCTGTAGAGTAGGAGCTGTAATATTCGGCCGCAGCAGTAAACCATGATCTGAGGTGCCTTGAAGGTACCTGAAAATACGCTTAACAGCCAACATATGGGAAGTACGGGGGGCATGCATAAACTGAGAAACCAGGTGAACAGCAAATGTGATATCAGGGCGAGTCATAGTTAAATACTGTAAAGCACCTACCATACTTCTGTACTCAGTAGGTTCTGTAAGAAGATCACCATCTGTGAGAGATAGCTTAGTTCGTGAAGGAAGAGGGGTACGAACTGGTTTAAGAATATGAAGATGAAACCTTGTTAACAAATCAGACACATATTTTTGCTGAGATAAGAACAATCCTTTAGAATGACGAACAGCTTGGACACCCAGGAAAAAATGCAAATCCCCTAAATCTTTCATAGCAAAATATCGGCCAAGGCACGAAATAAAGGTGTTAATAAAAGATGGGGAATTACCGGTAATAATTATATCGTCAACATAGAGAAGAAGATAAAGAATAGTGGACCCTTGGCGAAAAATAAATAAGGAATTATCAGACTTGCTGCAAACAAAGCCATGGGTTAATAGGAAGCTACTAAACCGGTAGAACCAGGCTCTTGGGGCCTGTTTCAAACCATAGATAGCCTTCCTGAGACGACAAATATGATGAGGAAACTGAGGATGAACAAAACCTGGAGGCTGACGCATATAAACTTCTTCTGTCAAATTACCATGAAGAAATGCATTTTTAACATCTAACTGACGCATCATCCAACCAAAGGACACTGCCAGAGATAAAACAATACGAACAGTAGTGGGTTTAACCACAGGACTAAATGTCTCAGAAAAATCCACACCAGCTTGTTGAGTAAAACCCTGTGCCACCAGACGCGCTTTATGACGCTCAACAGACCCGTCAGAATTAAATTTAGTCTTATAAATCCATTTAGACCCGACCACATTGTTACGAGAATTAAATGGAACTAAATCCCAAGTATGATTATCTATAAGAGCATTAAACTCCTCGGCCATAGCCGCTCTCCATTTAGGATCTTTATTAGCCATAGAAAAACATGAGGGATCACATGCCGAAACATCAGTTTGAAGATTAAAAATAGTTTTGGGTTTGAAAATACCCGATTTGGAACGGGTTTGCATATGATGACCAATTCCAGGGGGAGATGCTAGCGGTGAGGTAGTATCGGCAGATGAACTGCCAGAGGTAGAAGATAACGGTGAGGTAGGCGGTGAGGTAGGCCGGTCGGTGATGTTGGGTGATGAAGCGGAAGTGAGTTGGGTAGAGGGAGACTGGTCATTGGTCAAATTTGGAAAGGTGACCGAGCCTCTTGGAGTAGAATCAGAAGGTGATGAGTGGGGCTGGCTGGTCATATGTATGGGCTGGTTATTGGTCACAGTGTTGTCTGAAGTATGGAAAGAAGATGGGGCGGCCTGGTGAAGCAGTGACACCGTGGATGCTGGTAACACCGTTGGCATAGCAGATTTTTCAATTGATAAAATTAATTCAGAATAAGGAAAATAATTTTCATAAAATCTGACATTCCGATTAATGTAAATTTTGCCGGTAGTAGGATCGAGACAACGATAACCTTTATATTCAGGAGCATATCCCAAGAAAACACATAACACAGATCTAGGAGAGAGCTTGTTGGCAGAAGTGGCATTAAAATTAGGAAAACAGGCACACCCAAATACACGCAAAAAAGAGAAGTCTGGAGTGTGGTGAAATAATTTTTCATATGGCGACGCACCATTTAAATTCGGAGTGGGAAGACGATTGATAATATAGGTAGCTGTAAAAACGGCATCAACCCAGAATTTACTCGGCATTTTTGCCTCAAATAGCATAGTGCGAGTTAATTCAAGGAGATGACGATGTTTTCGCTCAGCAACCCCATTTTGTTGAGGGGTGTCAGGACAAGATTTTGGAAACAAGATTCCATGCTGAAGAAAAAGATTACGCATACCATGATTATCAAACTCACCCCCTCCATCACTTTGAAAAATTTTGATTTTATGATCAAGTAAATTTTCCACCATTAATTTAAAATGCTGAAAATGTCGTAGAACTTCACTTTTATTGCGCATAGGGTAGAGCCAAGTAAACCGAGAATAATCATCAATAAATAGAACATAATATTTAAAGCCACTTTCGGAGACAATAGGAGACTGCCAAACATCAGAATGAATTAAATATAAAGGAGCAATAGATTTATGCCAAACTTCTTGAAAAGGTAATCGTTGAGATCTTCCTAACCGACAAGAAATACAATCATGAGAAAAACTAGAAGTACTCAAAATAGAGCCAGACTTTTTAAGTTTAGCTAAAATGCGATTTCCACAATGTCCCAAACGACGGTGCCAGACTGGTCCAGGTGCAACATAAGAGATAAGAGCAACAGGCTGAGTGCTGGAAAGGGAAATAGGATAGACGCCACCATTACTGGATGCCTGAAGTAGTACCTCCCCCGAAAGTTTGTCCTTAACAAAAACATTATTTTTATCAAAAATCACAAGACAGTTGTTATCGGCACATAACTTTTGAATGGACAACAGATTATATTTGAGATGAGGAACATGAAAAACAGATTTTAAATGGAGAGGTCTAGGCCTAGCAGATAATGTCAAATTACCAATAGTCATCACAGGTAAATTAGAACCATTAGCAACTGTAACTTGTAGTGGTCCAGAATAAATAGACTTATTTTCTAAAATACCTTCATTCGAGGTCATATGAGCGGAAGCACCGGAGTCAGGATACCAGACATTTGGTGTGGATTCTCCCGTGGAAACAGCTAAAGCAGGAGTCTGAGATTGCATAAAACGAGAGGGGCACGTAACGGCAGAATGACCTGGAGAATGACATATTTGACAGACAACGGGTGGAGGAATAGAACCAAAACTAGTCTCAAAAGTTGGGGACCCTGCAGAGACATAATTAGTACACAAAGAAGATAATGCTGAAGATGAGTTAGCATGTGCTTCAATTCCATGGAGCGGGCTAGACTAGCAGCCATAAAACGGGACTCTAAACGCTGTCATATGGCGTTGGAGTTTTTCAAGTTATGAACCTCTAAGTAAAATATCACGTGAAAGTGTAGCAAAGAGCCAAGAACGAACAGTCTGATCCAGTTTTAACCAGTGATAATATTCAGGATTAATGTTTTGAGCCTGATATATATCATAGGTATACACCGGTGGAGCCGGAAGAGAGCCATCAAGAATACCCAGAAGACCGTTGGAGACCAAAAAGGACTCAAATTGAGTACGCCAGGGTAAATAGTCTTCTACGGCCAACAGTTTAATTGTGACAATAGTGGTAATAGATGAAGCCCCGAACCCCATACCTTGCGCGAGACTGGAAAAGGAAGTAGGCACGGGTGTGGAGGCTATCCGTTGACCAATAGCTCCTGTGGACTGCGGAAGTTGCAGGCCCGGAGCCCCAGACAACGTAGTGCCTGCAAATCGCAAACCACCTGCCTGACTTGATTCAGCAACGACCTCTTCATACTGTTGAGGCTGAGGTGTAGGAAACGTGGGACTCCATGTAAATACCGGCGCGATCCAAGAAGAAGTTGGAGCAGATTGGTGCAGCACGGTAGAGGACGACTGTAGCGGCACGGTCAACGATGGGAACGGCACTGTGAGTTGTGAGTCGGAGATTAAAGGCCGCGTATCAATCGCGCTCAGAATAGTAGAGGTCACCGGCGAATTTTCGGCGGCGGTGACACTAGAAATAGCAGCGGCGGAAGAAGTATCGTGAGAAGCCATGAGGCCGAAAAAAATTGCCTAAAACCCTATAGCTCTTGATACCATGTGAGAATAATGGAATGACTTACCCAATTGGTAGCCCTGGATGTCATATATATAATAGAATAAGTGTCCAAAATACAATAGGAAACTAACAAGATATGGAAATCTTATTCTAGGTAATAAATACATTATTAATATATGGAAGGGGTGGGATTGGTTCGGTTTGGGTCGGATTTTTTATATACACGTAAATTGCCTGTAAGGTCTCGGGTTGTGAAAATTAGGGACCTGAACCCGGATTGCTAGCTCCCGTTCATAGTTTCGCTACAGATGATACACGACAAAGCCCGTTATATTCGGTCTGATTCAGGTTTTTGGTAGCCCAGGTTCGGTCCGGGTTCGGGTTGGGGCGGTTAATTTAAAGCTCGAACGTGAAATAATCTCATTATCCTTTTATTTTATATTTTAAAACCTATTTTCTAATAAAATTAATCAAAAATATAAACTACAAATAAAAACACAAGTATTAATCTCTTAGATCACTAACAATTCTAATCGAAAGAAGATAATCATCGTAATATATTTTTTAAGATGCATATACAGAAATAATATAGGTTTTCTTAAAATATTACGAAAATAACTTAGGGATAAAAATGTGACTAGATTTGTTATAAATATATTTATGGTCATTACTGTAAACAAATTGAACATATTTGTAGTCTCTAAAAGTTACGAAGTCGTTCTTTTTTATTATAATCATATATTAGGAATTATTTATAAATTATAATCATATATTATATTGATTTTATATTAAAGATAATTGTTTCAGATTTTTATCGGTCCGCGCCAGGTTATAGATTGTAGGGCCTGTTAATGAGCCCGAATGTTTGAGTTCGGTACGGGTTTTTTTATTCAGGCCGGTTAAAAAGAAAAATACCCGGACCAGCGCGAGAACATCATTGGCCCGAACTAGGGTCGGTTTTTGGGGTTTTAGTTCGGTTTTTCCCACGCCTAGCCTATGGTACTTTGACAAATTCAATACCAATGGAAGGCGAGCAATGACCATGTGAATACACAACATATGGCTACATAGATGATAATTAATTAAAATGAAATTCTGACTTTGCACCCTATATTTTGGATGCTATTTGACATTGCATTGTATTTTAAAAATCATTATATGTGCACCGCAATTTCATTATATAAAACCATTCGAGTTTACACCATACTTCTTCAAAATTTTCTGACTGATTGAGTGCGCACATTGATCATTTGAAAATGATGTACAAAATCCAATATCCCTCAAAACGTAACCTGAAGTGCAAAGATTAGAAGGTCCACACATGCATATTAATGAGGTTGATTCTATAGTACCCATAAGGTACCATACCTTTGCTCATATGGACCAATGAGAATGTAACAGTTGAATTATTTAAATCTAAATTAAAAATGATAAAGTGATGCGGTCCAATCAAATGAATGATAGGTATGGTACCCCATATTTTAGAAAGGTACCAGAATTGTCACCTATTAATGATGGGATATTATTGAGATTTACTTTCAAAGAAAAACTAGCTAATTAAGGAATTAATCTTAGCTAATGAATATACGTACGTGTACACTAGACTGTAGTAGTACACTAGTACATCAATAGTTGAGTGCACACATTATTCTTATATCCTGGATGGATTGCCTGGAATAAGCTAAGTTGCGCGGCGATTTGGGTTTTTATCGGTTAGTGGGCAAGTGGAAAGCTTTAAAACAAAGAGTGGTTGGAGCCATGTGATGTGTGGGCGACAATATATGATATTGTAGGAGAAACCATTCTTTCAGATGACTCTATATACTGTGCAGGTTGGGTTTAATCGTGGGCCTCCCCTACACTAATGGGTAAATCACACATGCATGAAACTAAATGAGGGAAAAACTGTAACTAATTAGCTTGTTTCTTTCTTCATTTTCTTACTTATTATCCATCTAAAGATAAAATATGGATGAAGTCATCAAGAGCCATTATAGTTGGTGGCTGCCGGCGAATTAGGTTGAATTGTGTAGGGGGAAAAGTGCGTAGATCTATAGGAGTGCCCATCAAGCTATTCTTCTCCCTTCTCAGCAGTAAAAGTCTAGCAAAAAGACAAATGCGTTCATTTATTCAGTAATCATCACATCTCTTTGTTTATTCTACTCATCACGTCCTTGTCCTTGTTATTCTTTACTTCTTTCCTCCCATTTTATCTGTCTTACTTTCCCTTTCGGTTGTCCTAAAATGAATGTCATGTTTCCTTTTTAGTAAGAAATTTGTGGTCCATATTATTTCACTTTATTCTATCCAAATCCCAAAATGGATGACATGTTTCTTTTAATGCTTTGGAGTTTGAAGGATGATCGATATGTGTCATACGGAGTATGATATACGGAGTACTGATTTGTATTTTATACTCCTGATTTAGATTAGAGGGTTATAAAGACAAGATGGAAATTATTGAGTATTACCTCCGGTTAACTTCGTCAATTTCGAAATAAATGATAAATAAGAAAAGTAAAACATTATGATTAATGTTTGTGCAGAAATGAGCAGAATCACAAATTAACTACTTTTATGAGAAAGTAACATACTTTTTGGAACAATAAAAAAGGAAAAGTTAATAAATTCCAATGGGACGCGTTCTTTCCTAAAAAAGCATGACACTCCAATCCTGAGGACTCTCAGTTCACTGTAAGAATGTAAATTGAATTTTAATCACAAGTTGACAGATAGCGAGTGGAGCTCTGATCCAAGTACTTACAGAAGTGTTGTTCATTTTTAGATAGTAATCTCTCATCACAAAACACAATGCTTCCTATTTTATATGTATATTTTGACGCAGTCAACTTCAAAAAATGATTTGAATATCTTCCCGAACGAATTTTGAGCTGAAATTTGGTATGGACAAACTAGACTAATCAAATTTGAATTATTATGCTTACATCAAATTGTTATCTATCTAAAAATAAAAAATTATAAGCACCAATGATGGTTATGGCATTTTAGGAATAATAAAAATGTTGGTGTAATACTAAAGCAAGTTACACTAGTACAATTTGTTTTAATCTATGTACCATTCATCATTAACTCTATAACATCTCCTTAGCTCTGTTAAATTCCAACGTCAGTTTCTAACATTCCAACGGCAGTTTCTATTCATTCGCTTGCTTTAGTTTGCATTCAATGTTTTTTTTTTTAATTTTGCATTTTTAATTTTTCTTGAAAGGCCTACGTTGTACGGAGTAGATGATAAAAAAACAATTTCATGTAAATCTTACGTTTACTCTTTGGAATGAAGCCATCTGACACAGTTGTACGTTATTCTTTTCATACTCGGTATTAATATTTTACGGAGTATTGTTTAGTGCTTACCGTACAATTATTTTATGGGATAATGGACAAGAATAATTTCAATTATGAATGATCTGTTTGAAATAATCCAAAGTATCAAATATCTCAAAATAATTCCGACTATTGAAAATTTTCTCAAAATAACTTAGAATTATCTGTAAATAACTTATACTCCGTAATATTTATGAGTAAGTGGAGTATTTTGAGAAGATTTTTCAATAGTTAGGATTATTTTGATATAATTGATACTTTGGATTATTTTAAGCAGAGATCATTGTTAGTTGGGATTATTTTTGTCCATTTTTCCTTATTTCATTTAGATCAGATCAGAAAATTTTGGATTATATCTGATTAGATCAAAAAAATTGTTTTCACATCACAAAGATCAAGACCATATGAGATCAGAAAGGTACATACCGAATTGCAAAATTTCATACATGATTTATTATTGTTACTATACTAATTATTGTTATTATAATCAATATTTTTTTATTATCAATATTAAGAAAAGTGAGTTAATGTTCTTCATATTCAATTTATATATAGAGTAAGAATAAAGTACTACATATAATAAAATAGAACCATACAATCTTTATCAAATTTAGTATGCGATAATCTTAGTGGGACAGAGTGAGAAGGAAATATAGAACAATCTTAGCAGAAACAGAGGGAGTACTTGGGGTCGAGTT